CAATGAACAATATTCTTACAAAATTCCATAATACAAATATATTTACGTAAGTATATGCATCATCTTCTACCCCCTTGCTGGTAGCCGCAATGAATGAATTATGAGTTCTTATTCTCCATTTTCTGATCGAACAATGATAATGAGGATGGAGAAAAGCTTTTAAGTTTCGCTTTCACGAAAAAAAGAAGGAAGAAGAAGTAAGAAGGGCATGCAGAAGAAGAAGAAGCACAACTCAACCTCATTGACTTTGGAATTTGGTTGGATAATATGAATACATACGCGATTTTGATTTGATTGTGGCCATTTATTTCCCTCAGTCCACAACATCCATCTACACCATATATTAATAAAATATATAATTATTAATTTTCCTTCCATTATTCATTGATTTATTATACATAGCTGGATTACATGTTTCCTTGCATTTATAGCCACTCCTTTTATTTAATTAGTGACCTACTCTACTATACATATTACAGGTTGTTTTATATAAGTTATTATTGAGATTCAGGGTGACAAACAAATCATTTGCTAAACTTTAAGTTCCCGTTGAAGTCTGGATCGATTAAGAAGAGAAATAGTCATTCCATCCATCTTCGTTCAAAATTGCCTGCATCAGCAGTGCATGAAAAAGTTGAATGAACTAATAATTAACGAATCATGGACGATGCTTTTTATATCAAATCCGACAAAAACAAAACCATTAACCCATGTACTCAAACCATAAACAACAATGTATGGATTGATCATGATCAGACTATAGATTTGATTCCGACTAAAAACGGATCATTCGTTGGTTAAATTTTTTGAAAGATTTGATGAGTTTACATGTCACTTATCTAAAATGATTTGGGCGGGAAAATTAAGCACAGATTGCTAGTTGTGTTCAGTAAACAAGAATGTTTAGCGATAAACTCATTTCCAGTACCAAATTTGTCAAACAAACCCTAAAATTTCCAGTGAACCATTATGTATTCCCCTAACTGGGATCTTCCCTCTGATTGGGCCTTGTTTATACAATCAAATTTCCCCCCTTTTTTTCTAGCTTATCTCCATCAGCTGGATTGGCGGTTCATATTATACAAATTATAAAACCCTATACAATACAAGATACAAGAAGATACACCAAATACATATTATTTATTCTTATGGGTTGTTGTGGCCAAGTATTTATAACAAAATCAAAGTATTCAATCATAAGCTTTAGGGATCACTACCCGACAAGACCAATAATAGGACGAAGAAGAAATGGGTTTTCTTTCTTTTCTCTAAAAGCTTTAAGGCACCAGAGGCCAAAACAGAAGAACTATCATGGTATGAAAGCAAAGGACATATGGAAATAGTGGGTCTGAAAATTTGTGCTCCTTCCACTAATGGAGACGAAAGCTAGAAAGTCTCAAGTTGGAAGGATATTGGAGATGGAAGGAAGGAAGAAGAGCTTTTTGGATGGCCGGAAAGTGAGAAAAACAAGAAGGAAGCTTTAAATTCTTCTATGCAAATAGTTAGCAAGCAATCATGCTATCCAAAAAAGGGGAGAAAAGGGTTTTATTAATTGTTTGAAAAGAAGGTAATTATGCTAGGACTAATTATGGCTAACTTTTGAGCGATTTTGGTCCTACGAGATGCACCTTTCTTGGCTGAATGATGAGGACTCTTTTGTGGCGGTGGACTTATCGACGTTGAAGTAATAAATCGAATTATAAATGTATTTGATCAGGTTGATTTTCATTTGTGATCGTCATTTCTCTAGATCGGGAACTGAACAATATGGTATGCAATTTGATTTATCGTACTATATAGTTTAACGAAATAAGGTTCTAAAGAGTATACGATTGTTTGGAAAACATAACTATCAATATAATAAATGGAAAAAAAAATGTAAGAGCACGTAACACACATCTAGTAAAAAAAAGAAAAGCAAAAAAATACGCAATATATTTGCATGGATGACGAACTCCATTTTACGAACATGTCCCTTTCCCGTTTTGCTTAACAATTTAAACAACATATTATTATTATAATTAATCTGCAATTAACCAGATCATTAAGTAAAGTAAACCGCAATTGATTAGCACACGTGTCCATTGTTTGTTCTTCCAAAAATAGTCGGGGACCATTAGAGGGGGCACCATATTTCACTTCGTCCCCCGAAATTGATAAATTAATAAATAATGGATGGGTCTCAAACTTCAACAAAATATTGAAATTCTAAACAAAATATTATTTCTACCAAAAATATATAAATTAAAAAAAAAAATACTAAATCGGACCATCAAGAAGCTGCCAAGTCTAGCGAAATCTGACGTCCAATGGCTGCTCGATTTTGCTGCACGGAATTTTCTCTCTCGCCTCCATCTTTTTTTTTTTTTAACAGAACCAGAAGCTCGCCTCCATCTTTACATCAACAAGTCCACGCTATAGTATATACTTATGGGGTTAATCTCATTTATTTACTAATTGTCTAATTAATTCAAATCAAACTACAAACGTAGCATGGATTAGGGATTTTGTTGCCGTCACTGCAAAGATTTGTCTTAATCTTACTCTTGGATCAACCCTATCAACTAAAATATTAATTACTAATACATATCATTATTTTACATTTAACAGCATACCAAGCTTTTGTAAAGAATGTAATCCCAGTGACAAAATCGTTGGGTTTCAATCTGAAGGTCTTGAAAATTTGAATCATATATAGGATGACTACGTGCACTTCTCAATTTCATCCATCAACACGTAGTTTCATTTGGACTATCCATTACTGGATCCGAAGCTTATCTCCACAAAACTCGTACTACGATGGTGAAAGTTGTACCTTAATAATGTCTTAAGCATCTATGATATACAGTAATAGGTTTAATTAAGTTGTCAATTCTGTAGTAGCTAGCTTTACATATATAGTGCAATAATTATAAAAATAGTCCATTTTGTTTTCTTCGAGCTTCCATTCCATTAATAAGTTCGTTTTGTTTCCCATTGTAGCAAGAAAAGGGATTGTTATTATAGACATATATACATTATACATATGTTCCTGTCGTTGATATACTTAAATAAGTGGCTCAACACAACTGCATCAGTTTCTTGACTTACAAATAGTGCACAATGAATTAATTAATAATCACAAACCAAATAATCATACATAATATTTTTTAAAAAAAAATCAATGATGCCATGGCTAAGTTGCTCTCCCTAATATTCCATATGAGATTAATATGTTCGAACTCATGTGTATTTACATAGAGTTTCTTCATGCAAATTTGTGCCTAAATCATTTAGTTACCCGTGCTAATTCGAAATCTAAAGACTTTTCGATCGGGAACTTCAAATATGCGTGCGCGTCTATAGAATCAATTTCTCTAATCGATAACCCACAAGTTATTGGAAGTTGCAATCTATATGCAACACCATTTATAAGTAATTATAACATTAAAATACATAAGATTTTGAGGGAATCAACTGTATATATGCTTAATTAGGGATCAAGGAAAAGATTGCCCACACAATTAACTAGATCCTAGTTAGATTAATTAACCATGTTGGGAATGATCAGAGAGGAAATTAAGATCGATAATGAGGTGTCCAAATCCATGGGAGAGTAGTTCAGTGATCGATCGAGTTGTTGCTTGCAAGATTGGGTTTACCCAAAAGGGGACTTGTCTTGGCTTGGCTGTGGCTACGTGTACGTGCATTATACATAGTTGACTTGGCTGATGTCCACAATTAAGACAACAACAACAACAATATTATAATTAAGTTATTAACTGTGAGAGTGGTCTCCAATCGGTTGCTTAAAAACTGGCATTGGGTAAGCTAATATAGTTAGGGTTTCGTGTTCTTCAGTGTTACTGAAATTTGTTGTTGGTGTTCGTAAACGACATTGTTGTTGATTGTATGGCTGTGATTGGCTGATCGAGAAGCTACATTTGTGCGACCAAGCTGATGGCCAACCACCGGGTTATTATAATGTAAGGATGTGGTTAATATTTACACGTGAATCTCGTCCAACAACTCGAGTTATTGGGAACAATTGATTTGTGACGTGGTATATTAGAGCTTGTCTCCGGTTTGTTCCTGTGGTTATTTGTTCAATTCCTCTCGAGTCACAATGCTAGTCGTTGTCTTAAAAACATATGATATGGCGTGTCTGTGCAAATTAAATTTCAAACTTATGAGATGGCTTTCATTTGACATGTGTCTAAAATTAAAATACATATATGAATTTCTTCCAACAAGCCGAGTTATTGAGGCCCGTTAATTTATGCCAATTTATTATTTTTTATTATATTAATTTTTAATGAATGCCATGCACGTAAATATAACATTATTTTGTTTATAATTTGCTGGTGTGCACGTAGTCCATTTTCCAACTAAACTATAGATATTGTATTCATGAAATTGATTACACGAAGGAGGGGTTCACATGCTGGAAGATGTGAGTCACCCATCGAGAACTTTCCATGTAATGCATTAAATTAATGTTGATATTATTGAAGAACATAAAAGCTAGGGTTGGAGACTTTAACTCCACACAATGCATGATTGCCAAATATGGTTGGTTGGGTGGAAAAATAATTTATGGTGCTAAAAACTACTCACCAAGTTTGAAACTAGCTCATCTCGAATTGTATGAGTTATTTCAAATGAGTCGCGAAACACTCTAACTATTAATCGATTTCTATCAATACATGGATCGATTATCGCACGCGACGTATGGATCGTCGTTGCAATCTCACAAATCCAATTTCGGAGAGAAAGATTTCTTCGATGAATCATCAGTAAGTCGAATCAGTCACTTATATGTTCGTAGAATATTCATGAGACTCGGGGGTAAACTGGTTACGAGCTTGGTAGTAATTGCCATTACGTGGAAGGAGCTAGTGTGTTATTAGCTATACGTGGCGAGATGACAGTGCATATACAACGTGAAAAGCTGGAGTCAATTCACATGCATGCAGATGAGGTGTGAAATTAATTGTTGGGCTTTGCCCATTTATTGTGACTGCATAAAGAATAGTTGGCACGTGAATGGTTGCTACTCTTTTGGAACTTGGGCCCTTAAATGAGACCGTCGGGCGGGCCCATAATGAGATTCAATGTCACTGAATAAAGCCCACACCTTTGGGCCATACCCACGTTCAAAATATCTTTATTTGGAGCCCATATGATATCTGTAAAATTTGATCCCCTAATGATCTTATTCAACTCGAACCAAAGTAAACAAAAAAATGGAAGGGAAAAATGCAATTTTGAATGAGAAATTTATGCAGTAGTTTGGGCAGAATGATAACCCCAACTCAAAAAGAACGGTAAGAGCATCCAAATACTGGCACTCCAATTTTTCCGGCCACGCCATTAAGGAAATTCACTGAGAAGAAAAGGTTCATCGTTGCTTTTCAGCAGCTTCACTCAAACAGTTGAGGAACTGAAAGAGATCATCTCCAGGATCTGATCATGAATCTTGCCGTTGGTCACAAGGATTCCCCCAGGAGGATATATGATCCGTCTCTCCACTTGATCCGCCGCGAGGTCAAGCTCGCCCCCTTCCCAGTCAGTCACCTAACAATACAATTACAAAGAATCAGTATTTCATAATGGAAAAAAAAGTAACCAATGGAGATATCTTCAACAAACGATGGCAAAGACCAGCTTAGGCTGATCAAGAAAGTAAAGGCTGGAGCAACGTACCCTGCCTCCAGCTTCATGGACGCATAACATACCAACAGCATGATCCCAAGCCTGTATTATCAGCGAGGAAGTAGAAGTACGGTTGGAATTATTCAAGCTAGTTCGTTGTGTCTTGAGAGAAAGCAATATGTACCTTGATAGCTGTGTCTCTCTGAGCTTGAATGTACATCGAAGCCCTGCCTGAGGCCACCATTAAATACTTGCACAAACTGCACGCCAGGAAGAGCGAATAAGGTGAACAGAAGGCATTCTAAGAATCAGGGGTCACTTACAGCAAACTGTTACACAGAACTTTGCAGTCACTGAGGAATTATGTAGTTAACTTTGGTTTTAAAAAGAACTTGTCATTGTGATTTGGTATTACATTACACAAAAGTCACAATGTCTGGTTTTTTGTCTAAATTGTTCATATCGGTGAGTTAGTTCACCAAATTGAATAATAATGATACTTAAAAGGACAATATGATTGAGCAGCATTCTATGCTACTTTGTTGTTATTAATTTATGGGAGTGGGCATGGTAATTTGACTAATTTGAATTGAAGACCTGAACAACATTAAGTGACTATTATGTCAGTTTTCCAAACTTTAGTAACAGTATTTGACCTGACGAATCATTCTTGTATAGGGCCACACGGGCACTTAACGGTTTTACTCCATGTCAATTATAGATTCTGTCTAAACCCACATGAAGCTAGTAATATAAGGCCACCTACGGTGCAAACGTTACTACACAATTACGTGGAGAGCCAAGACTAAGAGATGAAGATCCTGATGAGGCAAAGAACTAGCAAAATGAACGAAACTATCACTATAAATAGGACACTCACCTTCCACAGCATGTAGTTAAAAGATGGATTTCATTGTCACCAAGACTATCTGCATCATTCTTTGCAGTGAATGATCTCGATAGAGGCAAAGAATCCCAACTCTGACTCTCAGGAATGCAGAATCGAGCTTCTGGAACTACTGAACATCCATCGACCAAGCATCTACTCCAATCATTGGACACTTGTAATGTCTTGTTCCATGTACCATGGCCAGTATGAGCAATCATCACGGACCCTAGGCTGTCGCCGGAGTTCTGCCAGTTTGGACAACCCATAACACCTAGCACGATCTCACCTTCGACTACAAGAGCCAAACCCACCTGAAAAGTTCACAGCTTTATGATTATGATCTTGGACATGCTGCTACTTACTTCTTAGACAATTCTATAGTGAAATTCACAGTTAAAAAAACTAGCTAAGCTATGCCAAACACCTAGCACTACAACTTATACCACATACAAGGCGCCACATCCTTTGAGAAACCCTTTGGTGCCATCGATTGGATCCAGGATCTGCAGCCACAGCAATACAAACAAATCAAGTTTACCAAATGTAGTTAAAGTTCCACCTTTCTGACTTACAGAAACATACCCAATATGTAGCTGGCGACTTTCCATAGAGATAAGCAGCACTTCCCCCTCTATCAATCGCCTCGAGAACAACATCATCACTCAAAGGTTCACTAGAGCTCCTCTTATCATTAACCACACTCACAACAGAATCCACCAGGTTATTAGCACGCACAAAGCCGGAATCCTCTTCAGCAACCAAGGGAATCGACGGGAACAACTTGCCCAACTCTGGCACCCAAAATCGCAATCCAAGAAAGATATATAAGAACTACTACCGTAGCCACGTATGGCGTCTCGGGATTGAATTTGAAAGGTAGTGTGAGCTTACCAAGGCTGATTAATGCCTGAACTCCAAAATCCGCAATTGTAACTGGGGTATTGTCTTTCTTCTCCACAATCCCTCCAACGCTGGAAAGCAAAGACCTTTGCACCTGCCCAATAGCGTCACCGTTCCCTGTGTCAAATTTTCCCAGGAACCAAACAAGAGTGTAAAATTGAAAAAAGACAACAAATGGGGGAAGCAGTTTACATCGACACAAATCCGACAAGCGCGCTCAACAATGCCCACTGCAGCTTCGAGTTCTCTGTGATACTTCGCCTTCTGGGTCGGAAAGGGAAGGCTGGCCCTGAAAACAAAATGCAAGAGCGGAAAAAAAAAACAGAAGAAGAACTAAGCCCCAATTTAAAACCCTAGAAAATAGAAATGGGGGAAGAGAAGAAGATTTTAAAGTGGAAAGACCTTACAGGGAAGACTCGCCAACGGAGGGAGGCGGCAGAATGAGCGGGGAAGCGGCGGCTGGATGACGTGGCGGGAGAGAAATGGATGGTGTGTACTAAACTCATGGCGGGAAGTTGGAGCGGTTAACGGCTGAGGCGCGGCGGCTGTTTTGAGAGTTCGGCCGGCAAAGGAATGGGTGCCAGCCAACTGACGGCGATGTGGTAGTTGCCGTGAAGATGGTAAAGTTTGGATTTGGTCCACGGCAGAAATGGGCCTGTCTCTTTTATCGCGATTCACAGTATTCATTCACATGGGCCAAAAGCCCAAACCATACCCATTTTTAATCAAACTTGTCCTCTTTTTCCAAATCAAACTTTTTCTCAGTTATCCAAAACAAACAACGGTATGCTCATTTTAACCATCTATCTTGCCATCTCCACCCGCATATTTCGACAAATCGCACGTTAACATGTCAGATTTCGTCGTTATAATTGTTACATGTTTATCCAAAAATGGGCTTAATGGAACTTGATAGGTTGTTTCCCAAACAATCAATAAGCTCCCGCGCACTAAATTTACCTTTCTGCTAATCCTATATATGCATTTTCTCTCTAGATTTTCGGTCGCAACACAAAAAAAGAAAAAACATTAATCATAAGAAACCATTTATCTTATATTCAAGAATCATTCATCACATTAACTGTATATTGAGAGGCGATTTCTTTGTTCTTTGTTCTTTCTATTGCATGGATAAGAGTTCGAGGTCTATTGGAGGAGGAATGCAAGGGATCTGCAAAGATCCCGCGACCAAGTCTTTGAAAAATCCCTCATCCTCCTCCTTCTCCTCCTCCTCCTCTTTAAAGAATACAAGGAATCTCTCAAGCGTTACGGCTAACAGCAACAACATGATGCTGAAAGAACACAATAAGATTAAGCAGGCGGAGGAGTCTCTTAGAACCATCATGTACTTAAGCTGCTGGGCTCCCACTTGAGTGATTGACGACGACCATGCACGTTGATCAAGCAAATTAAAGCGGGGCCAGTGATGATGGACCGAGAATTAAATGTGTCGGCTTCACCTTCTTGCAATCGGTTTGTAAACTGTAATTTGTAAACGATTCTGTGCCAATCAATATACATACATGTAATTACATTACTTGCATGCAATCGAGATAAGAATTCAGATGGAGGATGAACCCCGAATCCCTTTCACTTTTCATACATGAATCAACCATGAACCCGATATCTTAATTTATAATCGGAACTAGCTAGCACACAATAAACCCTATATCATGTTGATCGTGCTTCGTAACGTTAATCGAAACTAGATTTATCAGAAACACCAATCGTATCAATCCGACACCTTTGACATCAACACAAGACCATATATATAATTTTGTTTATCTTTTATGTCAAATCGTCATTAACTAAGTCAATTAACAACATCCAATCCAATCTACCAACTAATAACGAATCGCAACTAATAACGAATCGCCCCGCAACGTCAGCTTCGACGTCAGATTCGGTCGTACTATGCTTATCCAATAACACGGTTTCCATTTTCCCACCTTTTATCTCCCCGGCCGCAAGCCGCCTGCCTTTTTCTCCAAGCTGCCTTGTCCTCTCTATATATATACCCGTTCATTTCTGCAGATAAATTTTCCCAAATCTCGTTCACAAACAAACAAAGGATTTCAATTTGCACAAACCCAATTCTCCCCTTTTTTTCGTCGCCAATTGTATATTTTTTTTCCTGTGTGGGGCAACAATGTGTTCGAGAACGTTCTTGGGAAGAGCCATTCAAGGAACTATTAGCAAAGATTCCGCCGCCAAGCCGCTGAAAGATTCTGCCGGTGGCAGCTCTTCTTCTTCTTCTTCTCCTCCTTCGTCTTCGTCGAGGAATTTGTCGAGCGCCGCCGGTTGCAAGCCGGCGAGCAATACGATGAGCGAAAGGGCGGAAGAGTCTCTAAGAACAGTCATGTACTTGAGTTGTTGGGCTCCTAATTAATTGATCATCACCGCCATTACGTGGCATGTGTAAATTAATTTTTGGACGTTTGTGTTGTAAAACTGTAAAAATTGTAAAAAGTTCATCATTTTCTATTAGATGGTTGAGTTGGGTTGGGGATTACTAATTGGGGTTTCCCTAAGTACCCATCTAATGATCATTGAAGGATGTTGATGCATCATGATCCCCTGCTAATCTTTGTTCAGTCACACTCTTGCTAGCCTTTCATATATATATAAAAAGGTATCAATCCCGCTAGAGTCCGAGCAATTGTGTTTCAGATTCACCATTTTTTATCGTCTTGTATTTATAAGATCATGTCATAAGTTATAGCTAACATGATTAAAAAGATTCAAGTATAGATAACGAATGTCGAAACTATTATGCACGTCATGATTGATTATGAATTATGGCATCCTCATAAGTCATACCATAAAGTCATGGAAAACATGGCAAATAGACTGCAAAACTCTAAATGAAAAAAATTGTATGATTGAGTCATGGATGACGCCTCATTTGAAACATCTTACTCCAAAATCCAATATTGCAAATAATTAGGAAGGTATCTCATAATGCAGTCCAGGCCCAGCCCAGTAACATTACTTCAAATGGATCCATCCACAAGCGAAATCCAAGCCCAATTAAGTGGCAGACCAGATCTGGTAAAACAAAGAAAGGCCCACTTTACAAAACACCGTTCTACAACTCTTATCTAGGGATGGCAACAAAACCCGAACCCACGGGTACCCACCCGACTCAACCCGGTCAACGTGGGTAAAATCCGTGTTGACGGGTTTTGGGCCGGGTTTGGGTTTAAACCTGTTTACTATTCACCGGGTTGGGTTGGGTTTGGGTTTAGGTAAACCCGGCCCGTGGGTACCCGTCCACCAATATAATTAATTTTTTTGGTATATTTAATATTCTAAACAACTAATCTTATTTATGTTTTTGGAGACATGTCTAATTTTTTCTTTTTAATTGTGTAGAATGAAGTTGATGTTATGGAGTGGAGAGTAAAGAAACTTAATTGAAAGGAAGAAGCTTTCAATTAAACATGTTATTTATGGATAATTTGTGTTTTGCTTCAATTTTCTTGAGTTTTCTAGATTGGTGTTGAACAATTTGTATAGTTAATTTGTGATTTGCTTGAATTTTCTAGAATTGTGTTTTATATATGGATAATTTGTAATGAGAGATTGATATTTGACTTTAATTTTGATAAGAACTTGTAATTGTAAATTTTTTACGACAAAACCCGTGGGTACCCATGAACCCGCGGATACCCAACGGGTTGGGTTTGAGTTTCAAACCCAGTGGGTTTTACCCCGAATTTTTTTCAAAGATAAACCCATGGGTTTGAGTTTGGATTTGGCAAAACCCGACCCAACCCGACCCATTGCCATCCCTACTCTTATCTCCACGTCTCAACCACACACAAAAAACAGAGACGATAACCTTCCCGCTTCCAAATTCCAATCCATTCTTCCATCGATTCCGCCATTGAAATCTCAACGAAGAGAAAGCCATGATCTTGTTGAGACCCAATTACAACAACATCAATCTCCGCCGCTGCCCACCATTCTTATCGGACTCGGGTAATCACAATCTCCAAGCTTCCCGGGCGAGGCAAATCGGGTTCCCGCCGAGCAGGCGAAGTCGGCCGGCGCTGACGAAATGCAGCGGCGGAGCAGCGGAGGGGCCGCGGCGGAGGAGCTTCCTGAGCCTGGAGGAAGCTGGGCTGGTGGAAATGTCCGGGCTCAGCTCCCACGAGCGGTTCCTCTGCCGTTTAACGGTTCGTAATTTTCAAGTTCTTCGTTCAGCCAAGGCGCCTTAATTAGTTCGATCGTAATTTACCAAATTCTTGTGGGGATTTGTTTTTGGGTTTATTCTTTTTTGGGTGTTTTGAATGAACAGATATCGTCGTTGAACCTTCTGAAAGTGATATCGGAGCAAGAAGGGTGCGCCATTGAGGAGCTGAACGCAGGGAAAGTATGCGACTGGTTCTTGAAGGACAAGCTGAAACGCGAACAGAACATTGATTCTGCAGTCCTTCAGTGGGACGATTCTGAGTTCCCAATCTAATAAATCCTTCTTTTCTTTTTTACTTTGTCACTTCCTTGTATGTTCATTACTTTGTTACATTACCCGTGCTGCTGCTAAGGAACTGAAAGTCAATTGTCCTAATTAAGAGTGCGTCAGAAGATAAACACGAAATTGAGAACGAAGGGAGCTCCAATGAACAATAATATAAAGTCGTAACCTTAACCCATCTCCTTGAGATGGATCCCAACATCCAAATGCAACTGCAATTTCCACTAGGGTGCTCTGCATTACAAACAAGTAGGCAGCATCCAACCCACAACAATCCATAAAAAAAAAAAAAAAAAAAAAAACTCGAAGAGGTATGTAATGACATATTTCAGTGAGATGAGATTTAGATTAATCAGTAAAACTCGAGAACGTTAATTATATTATAAACGACATAGGTATGTATCTCTGCTTATAAAAAAAGAGGTATGTATCTAATATCTTTCTTCGTTGTTAGACTCAGTCTAAGAAGCAAAAAATATGAAACACTATTGATTCTACTTATGTTTTTTATTATTCTACTTATGTGTTGCATCACTTGAATTGCAAGGTCGTTAAAATCAGGGTCACCACTATAATCATAATTTATCAACTGATAACTGAGAAGTTTGTTGTACAAAAGTTTTTGGTTGGAGAAACAAAGTCAAGTCTGAGTCCAAGGTTCAAAAAGGCGCTAGGCGTAATGCAGGCTTTGAGGCTTTGCCTAGCGCCTAGCTCGCCTAGGTGTAGATTATGCGTGCTAGGCGTTGGAAGAAAAATAGCTATTCACACTACATGATTAATGAAATAATAATCTACAACACTTCTTCACTTCATTTAAAATGATTAATAACTTACTCAACACTTAATGACAAGAACATAGCTCACGAATTCATAGAATCATAGCTCAATAGCTCACAAAGTTCTTGAGATGTTGAAAATAGTGATATATAAATTTGATTTCGTGGTTGATGTTAATTTTCTCCTTTAATATTGATTTCGTAGGAGAGACTTATATGCCACCTTACTTCATTAACGTGTTCCAGTATCTAATTAGTCGCGAAACCTCTAGGCGGGGCGTTTTACCATTGCCTTGCGCATAAACATGCCTAAGCGTAAGGTTAAACGTGCCTTTTTGAACCATGTTCTTAATCTACTATTGAATTTGAATTCTTTATCAATTGGATCGAGACTGATCAAATCTATCAAATGCACCATGAGTCCATGACCACTACCACCTTACCCACTTCCCTTCTTCGTTTTTCACATCAATCCAAAACGGATTTACCCAACTAGTCAAAATTAATCCATTAATTAAACTTTGGAATAAGAATTTAAACTAATCACATTCAACTAATCCACCACTCATTCAACACGCTTTACCACACAAATCAACGAAAAGTCTACACTACGGGGAAAAAAACGGCAAAACCCTCGTTGTTAGCTCCTAACCTACCACTTGCGTTTCCCTCAAAGAATAGTATTTTTTTCTATTTGGTTTGTAGTGGTTCGTCAACGCCGATGAGCTCCAAGAAAAGAAACGTCCAATTTCCAGACCAATCAGTCGCCAACGGCCGGCGAGGAAAATTCGTTACTACTAAAGTGAACGGATTTACGAAGACTTCTTACTCAATAAAATTAGTAATCTAATAAGGACGATCAATTCTAAGTCATACTAAATCCAACCATATTTGTTACTTAATTCAATTTTAACTTACTATACCAAACAGGCTCTGCTAATTTCTTCCTTTATTACTAGGAAGTTGTTGAGAGAATCTTTCTCTTTTTTTAATCAAGACACGGTAAAATAAATAGCGAAGATACGTATAGGGACTTTCGCGGTGTCTTGATTCTGAACTTTAGTAACAAGGTAAACTTACTCGATCCAATAGGTTTACATACCACCAATATGCTCGAAGGTAGTATGTCAGTGCTCATCCTGAACCCAATATACGAAAAAACAACTTTAGACAACTCAAAGAAAAAGGCTTTTTTGTCATTCTACGGGCACCCCAATCACTAGTTTTAGGGACCATTTTATATTTTAATTTTGAATCAAGAGTTTATCCCTCATGAAGACAATCTCGGAGAACAGAACGACCCAACGATAACTGGCTGCAAACTATGAGCAAGCCAACAGATCATCATTTGCGAGCCTCCTTCGAAAACCGCACACACGCCTTGAAACGAAGATTGAACACTAGAAAATTCTCATCTCAAATCGCGGCTAGCAACTCAACAAGACATAGAACCCTAGGCGCCATCATGTTGAAATCCAATTGGACCTGCAAACACTACAATATACTATCCCTAAAGCGAGAATCGAGGCACAACAAAGACTAGGACGAACATCGCGAGCATCAAAGGTCAGTTAGGGCGGCCCTAGTGAGGAGGAGACCATGATGGCGACTGCACATAATGCAAAAAAAGGAAACGATCGAGAGAAATAGGATGTGCAATGTAACCAAAATTTTGAAAATGAAAAACAAACTAGACGAAAAATATAATAGACAAGTAGTTGAGTATGCTCGAAAACTACTACTTACATGATTTATTAGTGAAAAAAAGAAGACTATTTCTGTATTTGCACCTCGTTATCACACTCACGGCTCACCCCCTCAGCATTTTACCACGACTGCTTGTTCTAGAACAGAGAAGTTTTTAATCTGAACCCACAACAAAATTCAGCTTTCTTTCAACTCTTTCTCCCTACGCCCACTCAAAAGAACAAGCTGCCCACCTTCTCCTTCACATCACATCTTCCCCACGAAGAAAAAAGCTGTCTTTCTTCTCCCTTTCTCCATTTCCTCTCGACTGACTTTTCTTCAGGAGTTGGATCAGACCTTCCCCCACCCACACAAGATAACTCGAACCCAGTTCATGCTCTGACGACCTCCTCCTCCGCCGCCGCCGTCCATGGCTATGGTTGAGAACAAGTCGCCGACTGACAACTCCAACAAAGTATGGGGTTTCCTCAAGCTGCCTTTCCGAGCAACCAACGGGAATGCGACGCCGTCCCCTTCGCCTTCTTCGCAGCTTCACCACAGCCACCACAACCACCACCACGGCCACGGCCAGAATAACGCCGCCGTTGAAGGATCTACTCCTCAGCCTCCCAATTCGGTCTCTTCCGTCGCCAGATCGCTGCTCCCGACGCGCCGCCGCCTCAAGCTCGATCCGGCCTCCAAGCTCTACTTCCCTTGTGAGCTCCTGATTATTTTTTTCTCGATCTCCCTGGCCTTGTTAGCTAGGTTTCTGGGTATTTCTTTTCCCGGCGGGATCTTTTGGTAATTTTGTTAGTCTGGGAGAAAGAATTGACTGAAATTGCTGGCTTGGCTTCTGCTGCATTAATAAGTGCTGCTATCTGCTTTCTTAATTGGTTGTGTTTGGGTATTTATGGTTTCTACTGGGAATTGATGAAGCTTTGTTCTTCCTTCTCTGGTTGTAGATGAACCTGGGAAGCAGGTGAGGAGTGCTATCAAGATTAAGAACAGTAGCAAATCCCATGTCGCGTTCAAGGTATAGCTTGATTCAATCAAAATCCCTTTTGGCTTCACGGCTTGGTTTAGATATAAGGTTGTTCGATGATATGCCTGAAAGAACTTGATGCCCGTCTGAACAATATTTCTTATGCATTTTGCTATCTTGGTGTTGTTTAGTTCCAAACGACTGCGCCAAAGAGTTGTTTCATGCGCCCACCGGGGGCTATTCTTGCTCCCGGGGAGAGTATCATAGCTACTGGTAATTCCTCTCAGCAGTTATGGCTGTGCTGTTAAATGCATTGGTTATGTGCTTCTTCTTGCATACTGGTATCTTACGGCTGCATTTCTGGCTTGTGGATGCTAGTTTTCAAGTTCGTTGAGCACCCAGAGAACAATGAGAAACCAATGGACCAGAAGAGCAGGGTTAAGTTCAAAATTATGAGCCTGAAGGTGAAAGGGCCGATGGACTATGTGCCTGAGCTGGTGAGTTTACATTTGGATGCAATTAGCAGCTATCTGTTTTCCAACTTTGCTAGATATTGTTGTCATAAAACTGACAAGACTTGGAATCAATCTGGTTGGTGAAATAAGGAAGCTCTGGCAAAAACTTAAAACTTGCATGCACTATAGATGTTTGCCCCCTTCTTCGGTTAGGCTCTGCCTCTTGAGTTTTAAGTTATCCAGTTCTAAGAAGTTCCTCTAGCGACCGTGGATAAGTGCTTAACTTGTTGATTTTCTCTCTGTCATTGTGATTGTGTTTCTTATAAGGTTTCTTTGTAGGCATTACAAGCTCTCTCCACTAATCTACTGGAATTCCCAATTTCCCTTTGCAGTTTGATGAACAGAAAGACCAAGTAGCAATAGAGCAGATACTGCGCGTTATTTTTCTAGATCCCGAGCGTTCAACCCCTGTAAGTTCGAATATAGGTTAACAACTTCATCTGATGCAAAAGGTGCAAACTTGGATCTTCTCATTGAACTGCAACATTTTGTCATGGTATAACAGTCTATGGAGAAGTTGAAGCGCCAATTAGCAGAGGCTGATGCTGCAGTGGAAGCCCGGAAGAAACCCCCAGAGGATGCAGGTCCAAGAATCATAGGCGAAGGACTTGTGATTGATGAATGGGTGAGTTATCATCGTGCTATCCCCCTAATAAATTTTATTTGCAAAACCCACTAGCCGCACTTCGTAGTCTCATTGTCCATCATCTTTTGTGTATCAAACAGAAAGAGCGAAGGGAGAGATACCTTGCTCGACAGCAGGGTGAAGGGGTAGACTCAGTATAGACGACCCTAATGAGCAACAAGCTTTTGTTCTTCATGGCTTGAGAAGATGAATGGAAAATTGATTGATGTCTGTATGCTCCTCTTCTACTCCATTGTACCATGCGGGAAGAGTGAAAAGAAAAAAGCTCTTGAGAATGTGTCAATGTAAAGAAAAGATGATGCGTTGTTGTTGTTGTTGTAAGGTTGATTTGCTTTGTTGATTTTTGGGAGTGTTAGAAGAACCCTTTGTTTTTTGTCTTCCACCGTTCAGCTCTGCCTGTAGATAAAATGATGATTTTGATTTGCCTGCCTGCCTGCCTTCCTGCCTCCTGAGGAGCATTCATTTCATTGGATGGATAATATTGGATCGATGACAACCTATTGAGCATTGCTTTGAGGTTGACAAAGATATATAAAAGTTGTGTCAATCCACTCCAATAACACATCATTTTAAGTAGAAATAATGACAAAAAGAACAGCTGACATTGCTTAGTAGTCAATGTATGAAGTCGACCACCCCAATTTCCAACTCACACCCTTGTTTCAGCCAGCAAAGGCCCTGCCTCAATTATATCTCCCTGCAACTGCAATGCCTTCATTCTTTGTTCATCTTAGGAAGCTTTTCTTTCATTCATTTGTCCCTTATGCTTTTGATGTAGTGAGTTGACCACGCGAATTCCTTTTCTTAGATTTCTCAGCTGCTTTGGTTGTGCAGACTGCAGAGTGCCAGAGTATTTATTGTATATATGAATATGGCCAAGAAGAGGTTTCGTCAAACAAAGCAAAGCGAAGCAATGAAAAACAAATTTAATAAAAAAAAGGGGGTCGCTGTTACGTGGGTTTTCTGCCACGTTCTTTTGCACCTTGCAGATAATGGTTTGAATTGATGTTCACAGAGCTTGGTTTCTTTGTACATATCAACATAACATGCTGACGGTAACCAAAACTCAACTCTCCCTCTCCAATTACCATATATATTGTCGTCTTGATTTGATTGCATACTGATGCAACGTCGTTCTGACTCGATTGCATTGCATAGAGGAGATCAAATAGGTATCATTCTACAATGATGGTTAATTGGTTATTTCATATAGGGCATAATATTGAGTTTTACTATATCACAGTTGAATATTGAACCATTAATTTTATCGATTAGACAATATTCCTACATAACAATGAGTGTGCTTATTCAATTCAACAAATTCTTGTCAAGGCTGTCAAACACTTGATATCGGAGTCTGGTTCATACTTGCAAGGAAGGAAGAGCTTTGATGAGACGGTTTCTGGATCCGAGAAGGGACCAAGTGAAGAATCTCAATCGAAGCAAGGTCAAAGGGGACAAGCGATCGGGGATCTGTGCCAAGGCCATGTGGATTTCCAATCAGTGACATGCGAGGTACGCGGCAACGCATGACGAGGTTGGAAAAGGGCATGAAGGCACTTCGGAGCGAGTTACTTGGCATTCTTGACAATATTGCCGAGTCATTGAGAGAGGCGATATGGCCGAACTTGCTAGAGTGCGAGTTCATATCGTTACATCAGTTTAGTAAGTGGTATGGGTCGATGACAGTTTTAACATAATATTTAGGAAAAGTGAAAAACTATTAACACCAAATGAATTAAGCACAAATATGTTATAACATTGTAAGGAGACCCTCGTGATTTCCAAATCCGACATATAAATATGATTTCAAACCATAACAACATGTTGGGTTACTACAACCTAAGAATCTCGCAAGACAACTCTTTTGAACTAGATCGATTGTGGTTGGGTGGGACGTTCGAATTTGGTTCAATGATTTAACCGAAACCAAAACTAAATTCGTTGGTTAATGGGTAACCGAGAATTAAAAAAAAAATTGAACAATAAATGGTCTTGGTAATGGGTCTAAACTATCTTTCGGGTTACGGTGTAACCGCAAATCGAATCGAATCAAGAAAATTCGATTGAAGGTGTGCCTAGTCCTCCATGTCATTCAATTCTCGGGTTAACCGAAAATGAACACCAGCCCTAGATTCGTAAGTTGGGTGCATAATAAAATTCTTCTTTAGAGAAGATTTCATCATTTTCTAGATTGTTCCTGAACTAGATAACACGCCATCGTTAAAGATTTACTTACGATAGAATCGTACTACAGGCCGATCCCATATGATTTCAATGCATATGAGTATGACCCTAGTGCTTTCTAGCGCCCATAGTTGAGGACAAATCTATACAAGTATCTCCACATAAATAATTAAGAATCCGGTCATAGGACCACTTCACACATCTCTATCCATTACGCCAATAAACAAATCACTAAGGGCTTGTTTACTTTCATTTCTGTTTCCTGTTTTTAGAAAACAGATGTTGAAAACAGATGAAAACAATATTTTGTCGTTTCCGAAAACAGCAGGAAGTTGCCACTTTCTGTTTTCATAGTTGGAAACGAATAGAAAACGAAATGAAAAGTAAACAAGTTTCTCGTTTCGGTTGCCAAATTTATGACATAAAAACAGAAAACAGGAAATGAAAATGGAAGTGAATTGGAAAACCATTAATACTGTGGCCTCCCCACTAACGGATTTTCGTTTGCTTCCATTATCATAAGCTGCCATCTTCTCGAACTGACAATCCCTGGAAAAAAAAATATTAACCTCCTCTTTGTATTCACTATCCCCTTCTAAAACCTTTCCTCTCTGTACAAAGGAAACAATCTACCAAATCCAACGCAAATACTATGAGTTACTTCGGAATACTCCGGACGGCGGTTATCGTTTCTGGGCTCGAAGAAAAGAAGAACCCAGATGGTGGGATTTCGAAATGGAAATCCGGTGAGCTCCGGCGCTCTGATTCCGGCGAGAAAGGCTGCTTTCTCACCGGGTACGAAGGTGCGGGAAGGAGGGAGAAATGGGCCGAGGAGTCGATGCAGAGAGTGCTGTATCTCAGCTGCTGGGCCCAAACCTAGAGACGAGCCCATGAGCCCGTATAATGGAAGGAGGTTGGGCCGAGTTTGTCTAAAACGGCTGGAGATCAGCAAAAGGGCTTTTCGGCCTGGTGTGGCGTGTGGCCGACAGTATCAAGCCTCAATCTCGAGATGAACTCTCGTTTGTTTGTTATTTTTTCCGTTTCTTTTGTTTACTGCGATTGTGCATTTGTTTACCTGCTGCTTGTATAAAAAAGAGCACCTTGTTGTACAGGAAAGGCAAGGAATAGTCAAATACAGAATGTTTTTTTTTTTTTTTTTCTTATTTTCCCGAACTTGTTAACCACCAGTCCACCACAATTGTCAGACTTGGTTAAAGCTTCTTGGGCCATACTTTTGGCCCACGTAGCGATGGCCCATGAAGAAGAAGTCCATCAGCCCATTTTTGAAGGATGCTGCTATCCATTCTCGAACCCAACAACAACCAACCGACCGACTGTAAATGCAAAAGGGAAGGAACAAGTTTCACCCAAATGAAAAGAAGAATCCTAAGAACATTTATTCAGAAAAGAGGAAAAAGTCAGAAAGAAGAAAGAAGATTTGTCACGAGGGGAAGAAGGGAGAATCGTTTGGTGTTTGTGGCATCATAGATAGCCAAGTATGTGATCACACTCCAGAAAAAACCCAAGTATCCAAGGATAGCCTACTTCCCTTTTTTGTGATTTCAATTTCAAATCTCTAGAATGGATGTATTTATGGGAATGTAATTAAAGAGAGATGCACCAACCACAGATGTACAAAGAGCACATGATTCCCAACCTCTTTTCCATGGGAAAAAAGGGGTATACAATGACACATGACAATCTTATCCACACCCACATGTATTATGTATATTCAATAAATTATTGAGAAAAAAAAAGATTTATCTCATTCTCAATGTATTTGAATCTCAGTTTTGATAGGTTTTCTATCTCATTCTCAATGGCATACCATCAATCTAAGAAAATGTTTAAATGTTTTGAGAACCAACCTTCAAGTAAAGTATTCATCAACCATTCGATTTGATTCAAATTTGCTTCAAGTCGGATAGATAGATAATTACCGAGAATTCATTCTCTTCACTAACTCGGTTGTTGGGAAAGATCGAAACAAAATGAATGTCGCGCAATGATAAAATCACCTGAGGAATTAAATAGCTATTCTGAGACTCCAAATCCCCGCAAGGGCAAAGCTGCCTGCAGTCCCACAAGAGTTTTAAAACGAGTCGTCTCACACATCATGTTTAATATTCGAAACTATCAATCTTAAAACGAGTCGCATATTTGATCCAAACCCTAAGTCCAAAACCCGCATCAATCTTTGCAATGACTTATTATCAAGCAAACCATCAAACATTGGATAATCAAGTGGGTGGAGGTATGGGTGTTCAAATGGTTACCATTGTTATAACCAAACCAAATAAGGCTAAATTCCATTAACCATGGAATACAATATCATAACCAAACCGTCCAAACTAATACAACAACCAAATTAACCAAACTAAAGTTTAATCGGTTTGGTTAATTGGTTAACCAGATTAACCAATATAAAATCACATTATCTTTCTTCATAAAAAAAATCACATTATCTTTAACGATGAAAATTTTCCGGTTAATGCAACAATTCGCAATTTATATAATGAATAAAAACATAACAATCAACACGTAGTTATAGTTGACCCTTAACAAAAATACATGCAACTAAGACAATTATCTTACAATTAGTATAGAAGTATTCACCTAACAAAAATTTATAACAATGGTATGGGTTAATGAATTGTTGTGTTTGTGTAAATTAACTTAAACTCTTAGCAATTATCATAGGCTGGAAATGACCTTCCTTTCAAGTTTTCATCCATCATAATGTATGAAATTTATCTAAATTAGGCGTCCATATGTTGTGGTCTACACTTTACATATATAAATATACACTATATGAGCAATATTGAGCTTTATGTTTTATGAGTCTAAAAAGGATGAACGTTAACTCTTGAGCGATTATGCAAAGTATTAAGTATGTGTATATAATATAAGTTAGATATATGACTAATTACTTAACTAGTTAATTTGGTTTGACTGGTTAGGAGTGTCTGAAACCAAACCAAACCACATAAACCAAACAAGCTAAAAACTTTAACCAAACCAAACCAATTATCCAAATTAACCAAACCAAATTATCCAAATAATACCGGTTAAAACGGTTACCACGGTAACCAAACCGTTTGAACACCACTAGGTGGAGGAAAAAGGCGCGATTGATGAGGCGAGGGAGTCATGCGATTCTCCTTTCTTTTCGAGTGCTCCTCTCTCTCCCGTCACTCTTCTCTTGAGTCTTGACGGTAACCCTACACTTATTGAGAAAAACAGAGTACTCTGCCTCTAGGGCTCTGTTTCACAAAACTGATAACCTGTTACTTTCTTTCTTTCTTTCTTTTCAGTATGATTTATCTGGAGATATGGCTGGACTATGTTATCCAGTAGTAGCTA